CATCTATTGGAAAAATAATGAATTTCTTTTTACTACACCTTATATATATATACATATATAATTTATGTAATTATATATGTAGTTACATAAGAACAAAATTCATATACGATCTTTTTTCCGAGAAAAATTAGACAGTTACGAATTAGTATACTTGGAAGAATAAAAATAATGTGAGTGATTATTCATGAAATTACTAATACGTTTTGTATCTCCTTAACATAAGTAGATAGCAGACTAATTAGAAAAGTTCCGGCAGCGTATTCCGACGGTGTATACGCTATGGCTGGACAAGATAGGCCATCTCCTCGAAAGCTCAGCGACTTATTTATGCAAGGTGACGATGGCCTACCATCTGTGAAAAATCGGACCGCGTTATTTGCATTTTTCGGTAATAATCTTTAATTATTTATTTCTTCTAAGAATATCGATGACTTTTTGTTATCTTTTAGTTTTTATGTCGATAATAACTTCGATAGTAATTAGTGCAACGTATACTCGGTTGCAAAGTTTTCACACTTTTTGTCGAGTAAATGTGCAACGCTTTAAATTGTTAAAACTGAAAGCCACTGCTGATGCGTATTTCATTAGGGGCTCTCTGCTGATTTGTCGACAGTACAAGATCTGATATTTTCGTTGTGCCCGAGTGCGGTGTCCATATTGGCTCGCATAAGGACGTTTACGTACACTGAAAAAAAAGTCTGGTAATACTTACCAAATTCATTTAGTTGTGCGTTTCATGATAGATAGTAACCAATAAGGTAAATGTTATCAAATATATAGTAATAATTACAAAATAGTTAGTAACATAAATTTTTGTATAATCAAATCAATTAAATGATTTAGTAAATAGCATTAAATACATTGGTAATACCCACATAACATTAGAATATACATAGCATATTCCATATATAAATATTTATGTATATTGCATATCCTATGTATGTACACTTGGGGTACATGGTATGTGGTATGTACATACAATGTCTGTACATCCGCAATCGTAAAGAGGCACATAAAATGTTCCGTGCATATACATATGTACATATGTATATATATCCTATATTCTCTACATATCCATGTATATACAATCTGTATATTCTCTGAATATAACACATACATATTAATATGCATTAACATAACGTGTAACGTATATATATAAAACATACATTGTATATACATAATGTACGCCAAAAAAAAATATTTGAGTATACATAACTCAGATAGCACAAAGTATTTATAAACTATATGTTCTTAGTTTTCACTATATATATGCATTTATATTTTTTTATATATTTGTTTTACAAGCTACTTAATTCAAACTAAATTGTACTTCGAAAATTTGCTTACCATTGCCGAGATTTGAACCTGAAACCTCTGGTTCTTGAGTCGTTCGCCTTATCTACTGCATTACTATCACTTTGAGTGAGAGATGTTTTGTATTGTATAAATATGTATGATGTTATATGATGTTTTGTATTGTATAAATATGATATATCCAGTGGCGTAGCCAGAAAAAAGTTTCGGGGGTGGGGGGCTGCACTTTTTATTTTTGACGAGCAAAGGAAAAGGTCATTCGAAAAAATTTTTCTCACACTTAGCGTAACCCAGAAAATTAATTTCGAAGGGGGATGCAGCTTCCTTAGCCCTCCCCTCTTGGCTACGCCACTGAGTATATTCATGTACAAAAACAAATGATTTATTTAAAAGAAGAGAATAGATAATTTTAAATGTAAAATGTATATTTAAAAATATGTAAAAAGTATATTTAAAAAATATTTACTTGTTTTAAAAGTAAATAAGATACAAATAAATCATTCTGTAAATTTAAATAAATTGTTTTCTGATAATAAAAGAAACTTTAATTTAAGACACAAAAAGATATGTTATCTTGTTATCTGCGGAGCTCCATGATATGAAAAAAACATCCTATATATTCACTGTACAATGTGCAGTGCACATACATTTCATATACGTAAGCTGAATATATATAATAATATATACTATGACCCAGCAAACACAGAATATAAATATTATATAACATAGAAATAACACGTAATACCCTTATAGAAATATCATACTAAGAATCATTGATAATTACTTATTATCCAGTATTTTTAATACTGAAAATAAGTAATTATCAATGATTCTTAGTATGATATTTCTATAAGGGTATAACGGATGTTATACGTTATTAATGTTAAAGTTACATAATTTTCTTTTATAACTGCAATCTAACTGTGTTTTAGAACTGTTATAATTCTTTGCTATTTACAGGTTATAATTCCCTTATAGAAATATCATACTAAGAAATACTGAAAAATTATTAGTAACTAAATATTACCAGTAATTCAGTAATTTTTTGGCTAGTACTTAATTTCTGGTGAATACTGATAATAAAACCACTGTTAATATTGATAGTAATCAAATACTGAGAATTATTATGCAAAAGTGAAAAATGAGAAAATCATAACCTAGATAGCCAAACCTGCGTGATCAGATTTCGAGCAGAGCTTGCTATCAACTTTTTATAGCAAATAGATAACAAATTTGATGCAGGATCTGTTATATCAAATCTTGCTGCCAAATTGCCGCCAGATATGCGTCAGAGCTTGTTGTTGGATAAATGCTGCAGATTTGCAGCAAAAACCGCGCAGAGCTTGTAGCGATTTGACGGCAGATTGGCAGCAGAAGCCGCGTAGACCTTGCTGCGCTGCAAGCTTTGCGCGGTTTTTGCTGCAAATTTGGCACCAATTGTCCGACAGCAAGATCTGTCGCCAAAAACGTAGTCTAATGTAGATACAGATGGCTATGATTTTGCTGTGGGTTTTTGATCAAATTTGCTACCAATCTGCGTGCAGTCTGCGCTCAATTTGCTTACTGGGAATGTTTACAAAAATATACTTATATTCCTAATTTTCTCATGTCTCATAAATTACTAGATATCGAAGGTTGTCAATATATTCCAAACTTTCATGAATTCTCCTGCGATAATTTCGATCCCAAGCGGTATACCACTAGTTAGCCACCCATGTCCTGACCGCATTAAAACTGTTGCTTAACCTGACGATCGAGCGCGCACGCGGTGACTCTGATGACTCCAACGATGTTCTTACAATTCATGCTTATACAGGGTGTCCCGAAGTCCCATGATGACCCTTGGTGAGAACGTAGAACGGATTGAGGTGAGCAAGAAAGTCCTGTGCCGTTTTGCGATATTCGCAATAGTTTTTGAGAAATTAATTATTTTGTCTCAACAAATCAGCGTACAGAAAGCGGCAGCGGAAAGAAAGATGCCTTCGGCCGACGTGCGACCGTGACACTCGCGAATCGTATCTCGCCGCATCCCTCCGCCCATAGCTA